CTGTTTCACCACCCTGGGGCCTCAGACAAGAAGCCTTGAAGACCAGGTACGAACATCCATCCGGAGGCAACTTCGTCCACATACCTGGTGCCCAAGGCAGTCCGTTGGCTGAGGCCTCACTCCTCTCTCTGCTGGCCTCTACTGAGGGTCTCCTCACACAGACCACTTGAACTTCTTTGGGCATGGTGGCAACTTCTAGGTACAGTTCACCCCAAAAAGTCAAACAAAAGCTATCTTCTTTTCATGACCTAGCCTTAGATGTCACATCATTACACCTGTCACTGTTCCTCATCTGAATGTGTAGCTACATATATGTGTGTGTGCACAGAAGTAGTATTAACTATTACCTTGTAACAAATGACCCAGAAAGTAATAGCTTAAGACCATAAATGTTTATCTCAAATAGTTTTTAAAAACTTTTTATTACAACTGTTTATTTATTTATTTACTTATATGTCTGTGCACATGCATGCCACCTCACGTGTGTGGAGGTCAGAGGATAACTTGCAGAGCCAGTTCCCTCCTCCTGTCATGTGAGTCTCAGAGACTGAACTCGGGCTGTAAAGCTTGGTGGCTAACACCCTTACCTGCTAAGCCATCCTGCCAACCTCCTTATATTTCTCCTTCCCTGTGTGTGTGTGTGTGTGTGTGTGTGTGTGTGTGTGTGTGTGTGTGTGTGTGTGTGGTGTCTGTATGCAGAGCATAGAGGAACACACCCAGGACCTCATGCACACTAGACAATGCTCTGCCAGAGTTGCATCCCCAGTCCCCTTCATACTTTTTGTTCTGAGTCAGTCTCACTAGGTTGCCCAGGTTGGCCTTAAACTCACTGTGTAGTCCAGGCAGGGCATGGACTCGTGATTCTCCTGCCTCAGTCTCCCATGGAGCTGAGATTATAGGCCTGTGCCAAGAAAACAGGCTCAAATCTTTTGTTTTATTTTATTTATTTATTTATTTATTTATTTTTTGCTTGCATGTATATATATATGTACCACATACATGCCTGGTACCTGTGAGTACAGAAAAAGGGATTGAATCCCCCAAAATTGGAGTTACATATGGTTGTGGTTCACCATGTGGATGCTAGGAACCAAACTTGGGTTCTCTGAAAGAGAAGCAAGTGTTTTTGTTTTTTTTTTCAAAAGTAAGTGCTTTGTTTTTTTTCGAGACAGGGTTTCTCTGTGTAGCCCTGGCTGTCCTAGAACTCTCTCTATAGACCATAGACCAGGCTATCCTCGAACTCACAGAAATCAGTTTGGCTTTGCCTCCCAAGTACTGAGATTAAAGGTGTGCACTACTACCACCTGGCTGGTAAGCAAGTGTTCTTTTTGTTTTTTAAGATTTTTTTTTTTTTTTTAATGTATATCAGTACTCTATCTGCAGGTACACCTTTATGCCAGAAGATGGCATCAGATCCCACTAGAGATTGTTGTGAGCCACCAGGTGGTTGCTGGGAATTGAACTCAGGACCTCTGGAAGAGCAGCCAGTGCTTTTAACTTCTGAGCCATCTCTCCAGTCCACTCAAAAATGTTCTTAAGGTCAGAAATCTGTGAGCTGAGATGGTCTGGTTCTGGGCCTCTCCTGAAATTGGGGGTGAGATATGCTAATCTGAAGGTTTAATGGGGATTCTCTGAAGGCTGAGACTGGAGGATCTGCCTCCTAGCTCATATATGAGCATGAGTGTCTTAGTTAGGAAATTTTTTTTTTATCGCTGTGAAGAGACACCATGACCGTGGCAACTCTTACAAAGAAAACATTTAATTGAGGTGGTGGCTTACAGTTTCAGTGGCTCAGTCCATTATTGTCATGACAGGGAGCATGGCGGCGTGCAGGCAGAGGTGGTGCTGGCTACATATTGACCAGAAGGCAGCAGGAAGTCGACTGACTGTCACACTGAGTGAAGCTCGAGAAAAGAGACCTCAAAGGCCGCCCCCTGCAGTGACACACTTCCTCCAACAAGACCACACTTACAACAACAAGGCTACACTTCCTAAAAGTGCCACTCCCTTTGGGGGCCGTTTTCTTTCAAACCACCACAACTGGCAAGAAGACTTCATACCTTATCATGTGAAAATCTCCATGGACTACTCAGACACAGCAGAAGGCTTCACCTAGAGTCCGTAACCCAAGAGAGACAGTGAAATGCCTTTTACAGTCTCCTCCCAGGGATGGTCCCTTCCACTCCACCGGATGCTACTGGTACACAGATCTGCTCCAGGCCAGTACAGGAGGAATGTTCTGAGGACGTGAACACTCTGGAAGGTACAGTTGGCCATACAGATATGGTCATACACATCTCCCTTCCCCCCCACAAAATTTCTAGCCTAATGTGCAGCCCCATGCTCAGCATCCAGCATGCAGATGTCAGATGGACTCTGTGTGATGCGACTAATGTCGATCCATGGCCAGTTTTCCTCCATTCTTGTGCATGAACAGTTCTGAGGCCCCTGCAGTTGGATGGCCTGTGGCTGCTTCTGGACAGTTGAAGAGATCTCTGTCAGTGTCACAGAAGGAGCAAAAGGTGTAATCCTGATGTTCCAGCCGTCTCCTTCCTAAAGTAGCATCCCGGGAACCCTGACTGGCCAACAATGCTCCAGCAGGTGTAGCTATGTGAATGAACACTGTCACTGAGCTCCTGATCTAGATCCAGAGAAGTAGCTGGCATGCAAAGTCTTGAGCTCCACAGGAGCCATCACTACAGATAACTTGACCTATCCTGAACATCATTTTTCTAACAATAGTCTGTTAGCCCCAAGTTTCAGATGGGGAAGGGAATACCTTCAAAGGCCAAAAGACTAGCCCAAGACCCTGGAACAAGTAAATAGCGAAACAAGTTCTGAATGTGAATCCTTTGTCTACTGGTTCAGGAAGCTGTATGAATTGTGGTAAATGCCACAGAGATGTGAAGCAGTTGAGTTTAACCTGACATTTAGTGAGCAAACCAATAGAACTCTCTGAGTCTTGGTTTTCTCAGTCTGCTACACTTTGAGCTTACACTCAACAAGTTCATGTGTCAGGAGCCCAGTCCTCAGTGTGACAATATTTAAAGGAAGTATCTTAGGTCACTGCAGCATGTCCCAAAAGGATTCAGGTAGTTTTTGGAGGGCTCTTGAGCTCATTCTTACAAGACTGTTGTTATAAAAGATCAAATCTCACCACACCCTGGCTTCTCTCTGGATTCCTGTCTGGCAATGTGATGTCTTTTTTCTACACATGTTCTGCTGTGGTAAGGCACCATCTGCCCCAGCTCATCAGTCTCAAGATCCTCACAACAACTAAGATGATACTGGGACCATACCCTTGAACCTCCAGAGCTGTGAGTTAAATGAACTTTTCTTTAGAATGTTGCCTAGCCTCAGGTATTTTATTACAGTAATAAAAACAACTAAATTGGGGTTACTTTCTGCAGAGAGTTGTGAGGATTAATGAGAAGAGATCACAAATCATCAGCTGACATAACTACCATGATCTTTATATTGTCACTGTCCTTTCCCTTACAGCGCTGCTTAAGAGCAGCTAACTGGAGTGTTCCTGGCTTTCCATTCCCTTGTCCCCTGAGGGATTCCACGAGGCATTGTTCCAACTCACTCCAAAGCTCTGAAACTACACGTTCCTGGCTTCTCTTGGTGGCATCTGGAGGCGACTGTTCCCTTCGGAAACATAACACATTCTCTAGTCTTCTGTTGTTAGTCTTTCTCTGCCCGATACATTGTTCTTGGCATTCCTCACAAGCTCCGCTAGCCTGATGACAGGACGCAGCACTGTTGACTCAGTCAGCAGAAACAAAACAAAGCAGGTTCCCTCTCTGCCAGAATCCAAGACCTCGGTACAAGATAAAACATCCAAGGCAAACAAAGCTTGGCCTGCCGAGGTCGGGCAGGACCTCCGCTGAGGGAACTGGCCTTTCTGTAGCTCCTCTGGATGGGTCGAAACTCAGAAAGGGAAGAGCCAAGTAAACGGAGACCCAGCTGCATCACAAAATCTCCACGGTTGCCAAAGGAGGTGAGGGTGGCAGAGCACTGGCCCAGATCAAGAGTGACATGGCCTCACAGCAGAGAATCCAGAAGAGCACAGCCCTGATCTATATATGTACGTGTGTGTGTGTGTGTGTGTGTGTGTGTGTGTGTGTGTGTGTGTGTGTGTGAACAGACATGTGTGTCTACATACAGAAACATACACTTGCCTCTGGGTGAAAACGAAAACATCTCCACCAAATCATTAACTCTGACATTTTTTATATGAGACTGGAGAGTAGTAGGGACTCTGCCTTTTATCCTCTACATAATTTGGAGTTTTTTCATTGAACCTGCTACTTGTTATTTAAATTTTTCTCATCAATACGTAAAAATAAGCTATTTGCCCCAGGAAGGTGGACAGTTCTAATAACGCAGCACAGACTGAGCGCCACGTCACATGGTCACATGCTCCCAATATGTCTAAGAGGAGGACATGACTGGCTCAATTTTAAGAATTCTTGTGTGTGTTGGTGTGTGTGTGTGTGTGTGTGTGTGTGTGTGTGTGTGTGTGTGTGTGTGGATTTGGGTACACACTCATGCCAGGGAGCACCTACGGAGGTTGTTGGACAACCTTGGTTGCTGGTCCTCCTCTTGCATCCTGTTTGAGGCAGGGTCTGTTGTTTGCAGCTGCACAAGCCACGTTAGCCGGCCCACGAGCGCGTCTGTAGATTCTCCTGTCTCTACTTCCCACCTCACCTTAGGAGTGCTGGGATTACAGACACATGCTACCGTGGGCTATGGAGACCCAAACAGAGGTTCTCACGCTTGCTCAGCAAGAGTCTAGAAACTGAGCCATCTCTCCAGCCCATCTCTGAATCACAGGAACGAAAGCAAAGGCACCCTCCTCCCGGCCAAGGATCCAAGGGCCTCCCACTGAGCACGCAGCCAGCCCCAGCTGTGATCTGCTCTGCCAGCTCCTCCAGTGTGGCCCTAATGGCCCTCCCGTAGTAAACACTGTGCCACAGCAGTTCACCCTGCTTCACCTGTTTATCAAACTCGGGCTTCAGAGCGTCTTCCGTGAAGATGTGGAAACACATCTTCCTGTGGCTGAAGAGCACGGCTGATTTGAGCATGACCAGCGTCTCCTCCAACCGATCGCCACAGGCCACCACAGCCAGGTGAATCCAGAGCTCGGGCGGCACCGAGTGCAAACTCCTAACTTCCCCAGGCCTCCTAGAAAGAAGAAAAACAAGCTGAACTTAAAAAAAAAAAAAAAAAAAAAAAAAACCACGGAATGGTTGGAACATTTCAAAACATGAACAGGCACAATCTGTTATATTTTATAAAGTGATAAGCATTTCGACAATTCCTGCTTGTAGAAAAATACCATTTATTCCCATATTTATCCTGGCCATCATGAGATGAGTCACTGTTTGGATGGCTATAGGTGTCTGGGACTTTTTCTGCCAGCACTCAGCTGTCTAGTGCCTGCTGGCTGCCTACAGGGCTGTGTTTGGAAATATCATTTCCAAACTCCGACAGCTGACTGGGGGCTGTGGGGTTCCCACTAGCACAGGGCCATGGAAATTAGATTCGATGCAACTTGAACAGGAGAAGGGTGAGTTGTGGCTTTCCCATGTGAACCTCGAAATATGATACTCCCGTCATCTGGAGGTTTTTAGGTTGCGGTGGAATGCGTGACTGTTGGATGGGAGGAAGGCCGTGCAATCGCAGGCGGTGAGGGAAAGGAACAGCCTACTTGTCCCCACGCTCACTGTGTCCCAGGGCAGTCTTGAAGGAACAGGTGTTAATCCTGACTGTCTGGCCAAGGAGCGGTGAGGTGGTGGGTACGAGACTCCTCCTAATAAGAAGCAGGAAGCGGGGAGGCGGGCAAACCTGCGAACATCAAGGTATCCAATACTAAATGAACAGCTGGGAGGAGAAATGGGGTCCAAGAGTCTAGGATCATCATCCAGCTATTTCCTAGGAATAAAGATTGGTCCCAGCCAGGGAGATGAAGCCAAGCCTCAAAAGCTCCACTGAGAAACATTTGCAGGCAAGCTGGAAGAGGTTAGGCTGAAAAAGGTGCCCTGAGACAAATGAAAGCAATTTACTCGCACAAAAGATTTGGAGAGCAGGGGAACTTGGATGTCAAATGCCACCTTCCTTCCAAAAACCTTCCAGTTCACTCTGCAGGCTGCCCCACCCCACCCCCCACCCCTCTGGCGAACTCACAGGCTCGTTCCAGATTGCTTTCACCAAGAGGGAAGTTGAAGTTGTGGGTGGAGCATCCTGGACCATGTCCCAGTTTGATTACTTAAGAGCAAGCTTGGCAGAAGCATGGCCTGGTGGCTCAGCCCAGGCTAGATGCAGCCGGTTCTTGGATTTCACTAACTTCGGGAGTCACGAGGAAAGATGGTGTCTTTGTGGATCGGCCACTTCTCTTCATTCCCCCTGTTCTCTTCAGATGTGGCCACTGACTTCTCTCCCCTAGCACCGTGACAGCCCTCTAGGAGGTCTGTCCATCTCAGCTTTACCTTTAGTCCCCAACCTAATGCGCAGTCCCCATTGGTGCAGGGGTGGGGGGTTGGAGGGGGGAGGGGTGGGGTTGGGGTTGGGGTTCCAAGATGTCAGTCTTGCTAGTTTTCCAATCAGAATCGTGTGAGGCTTGCCTGCCTTCAAGATCAAGCACAAGCTGCCAATTAGGAATCCTAATTACATCTCAACGGCCACCAATACCGCTTACCTGAATGCATGGTCACTCAGTCACACTTCTGTTTCCATTCATGGTTCTGTATCAGTCCATGCAATGTTTTTCTAGGTGTACTGGTTGGTTTTGTTGTGTCCACTTGACACAAGCTAGAGTCCTCAGAGAGGAAGGAGCTTCAGTTGAGGAAATGCCTCCATGAGATCCAGATGTAAGGCATTTTCTCAACTAATGACCAATGGGGGAGGGCCCAGCCCATGGTGGGTGGTGCCACCCCTGGCCTGGTGGTCCCGGGTTCTGTAAGAAAGCAGGCTGAGCAAGGCATGGGAAGCAAGCCAGTAAGCAGCTCCCCTCCATGATCTCTGCATCAGCTCCTGCCTCCAGGTTCCTGCCCTGTTGGAGTCCCTGTCCTGACTTCCTTCAGTGATGAACAGCAATGCTGAAGTGTGAGCCAAATAAACCCTTCCCTCCCCAACTCGCTTTTTGGTCCTGGTGTTTTGTTGTAGCAATAGAAAGCCCTGACTAAGACACTAGAACTTGACACTTGAGCACTCATTCAATTCACTCATTCCTTACTTCCTCTCCAAAACATTCTTCTCTCTTTACTAGCCACCGCCCATTCCTTTATGGACGAATCTTTACTGAAAGGCCTAGTACATGTGAGAGAACATTCTAGAATAGAGGTGAACAAAGCAAAGATGCAGGAGTCACCTCCTGCAGAGGGCAAGGGAAGAAGAGAAATAACACTAAAAAGGTGGCAGGGCCCAGTTTGTGACGTGCTTGCTCCGAAAGCATGAGGACCTTGATTGGATCCCCAGAACCCGTGCAAAAAACGAAAGCCAGGCAGTGATGCCCCCTTGTAATCCCAGCACTGGGGAGGCAAGACAGGTGGTCCCTGGGGCTCAACAGCAGCCAGCCTGGCCCATTTGTTGAGCTCCAGATGAGCAAGGGACAGTCTTGGGAAAAAAAAAAAAGTTGGATGGAGCCTGAGCAATAACACCCACGATTGTCTTCTGGCCTCCACGCACACACACATGTCACATGCACACATGAACACACACTGGGGAAGGGACAACCCCTAAGTATTGTGCAGAAAAAGTCAAAAAGTTGGGGCTGGAGAGATGGAATTCTCCCAGCACCCCCATGGCAGCTCACAACTGTCTGCAACTCCAAGATCTGACCCCCTCACACAGACATACATGCAGGCAAAACACCAACGCACATATAATAAAAATAACGTTTTTAAAAAGTGAAAAGGGTTGTGACAGACAATGGGAAAGGGTTGCCGACAGGGTGGGAGCCCATCAGTGCTGGGTGACTGCAGTGTGACACCTGGCAAATAAGACAGGCCTCCCCGACAAGAAATTCATCAGAGCATCTCTAGGGGACTGTGGCAGAGGAAAAACTAAATCAGGACGAGCCTGGAAACGACAAGGACCCCGCCCCTCGGGACCCCCATGCCTGCTGGTCTTCCTAGCTATACTTCATGGTGGTGTCATGCCCACTATTAAAACCAATTCCCCATTAGCTAACTTATGTGGATGGAAGGAAAAGCCACGTGAACAACACTAAGATGATGATCTAAACGTGGTTAAGGAAGGCATCAGCTACAGGACCCATAACTCTGGGGCCTCTGAGATGTTTCTTTCAGCAGAAGTTTCTTGTAGCCCACAGCCAAGAACCCCAGTTTGTGCCCCTGGAACCACATGATGCAAGGAGTGAACCAACTCCTAAACTCCTGCAAGCTGCCCTCGTATCACCACATATGTGTCATGATGCACACATATGCACACACACTCATGAACACTCATGTACACACACACACACACACACACACACACACACACACACACACACACACACACTTACCAAAAATGCAATAAGACCCAATGTGAACAGCTGGCTAAAGTATGCCATGCAATTGGGAACATGGGTGTGTTACAGAGGTAATGGTAAGTGGGGCAGGAATATAGTGCGCTGGTAAGACACCTGCCTAGTGTGCAAGAGACTGTCCATTCCATTCTCAGAACTAAAAATATGAATATCTTCCCCCCTCCTAAACAGAAGGAGTCCATCATGCTCATCTTCACACATGGACAGTGAGTCTGAGCTGGGATATACAAATTTAAATGAATGATTTAAATCTTTGTTGACTAGGAAAGATGATAAGATAAACAAAAGGATGTCCCTGATGAGCTCCCCCGTGGATGGGAGCAGGGAACAGACAGCTCTGTTGGGTACCCAACAGTGGACATTGGCCCAAACTCTAAAGAGATAATTGACAAGTTAGCAGGTATGGAGATGGGCACACACCCTGTCCTTCCACACGGATTCCTACATGAAAAACCTGCAGAAACTCTTGCATGTTTTCACAATCCCTTGCAAGAGCATGCAGAACAGTTCTGTTTAAAAAAATAAACTAATGACCATGCAAAGAAAAAAACACCAAGATATTTGCCATGGTGAGAGTGTGGAATACCATATTGCCATGAAAAAGAATAAATCGGACCGGTGTGCTCCAACATCAGGTCTAAGAGGAAATGAGGAAGTTCGTAAGGACTGCAATAGAGTAACCACATTTAGATTTCAACACAAGACAGAGTGCTGTCATTGCAGAACGCCACTGATTTCTGGGACGTAAAATGAATTCTGGGGATTATGTCCATTTTCACACAGGATCTTCATTCTCTCATGTTCTTGGTCCTATTGAAACCTTTCAGTGTCTAAAAACTGCAATGTTAATACCCAAGAGAAAAAACCATGATCATGTGTAGGCTAATCACCATGATCAGTGTGGTACCATTTTGTTTGTTTATCTGTTTTTGTTTTAAAATAAACCATATTGCCCTTAAATAAAAGAAAGAAAGAGTGTATCTTATTTGCAGATATATATGGAATAAAAGTACATTATACCAACAAGAATGAAGGTAATCTAATACAGGATGGTAGTTATTTCTGGAGGCTGACTAAAAGTTATATTTCTTTTCTTCCACAGATGAAATTTATTTTTATTTATGTTAATGTGTGAGTGTGTGTGTGTGTGTGTGTGTGTGTGTGTGTGTGGTGTGTGTGAGTACATGCCAGCAAAGGCCAGAACAGAGTGTTGAGACTCTGGAGCTGGGGTTGCAGGCAGTTGTGAGTCACCTGGTATGGGTGTCAATGAACTGAACTCTGGTCCCCTGCAAGAGCAGCATACCCACACTCTCAAAGGTGGAGCCATCTCTCCAGTCCTGAAAGTTACAATTCTTAAGCTGAGTGTTGAGTATATGGAAATTCATTTTATTATCTGCATTTGTGTGTGTGCCTTCCAAACTGATGGACAAATACTTTTTCCACCAAGAAGAGTGTGTTAGAGCAGGGATGTACTCAGTGGTAGAGTACTGGGCTGCATGCTGAGGCTCTGGCTCTCACCCCCGCTCCCCCCCCCCCCCCCCCCCCCCCCCCCCCCCCCCCCCCCCCCCCCCCGCAGCATCAAATCCAAAAGAAGGGAAGAAGGGAAGGCAAAACTCCCACTTCCCAAGGCAGA